ATTCAATCCTGGTGTAGTAACAGAAGTTTGTGAGTTGAGGGATGACTATAGGAATATTTAACTAATTTATAGGGGCCTATTTCTTTTAAAAACATGAAAGGAACATGGTAAAATTTTAAAACAATAAAGCAGTATGATAGGTAAATGGCTGTTTGCTATATTATCCTGTAAAGTTTTTTTTTTTCTCCCACATTCGAACCTTCTTAATGAAAATTGCAGGTCATCACCTGATTACGTGTTAAATTGCATACATCAGACAATGAGAATGCTGAGACTCTCCATCCCCCATATACACTTCTGCCATCCTCTCCTACTCTCATTGGAATCAAAGAAATCACAGATGTAAGGTGTTGTGCTGGGCATCTTAATAAGTGAAATGAGAAAAAATTAGGAGGAAGCTATGTGAGTGTTATATGAAAATTTTGCTGACTGGGGAAGAGGCTCAGACTAAGGAAGGCACATCATGTCCAGTTTTATGCATTTAAAACATCAAAACTTGTGCCTATTGTGTAATGGAGAAATACAACTATTGAGTTGTTTCAATAAAAATTTACGAGATTGACAGCAAAACACATTCACTATTAAGTGCAAATGAATCACAAACAGATGTGTCAGGCAGAAAACACTTCCACATAATACTTGCTATTTTGAGTTCAGATTTTAACTTCTAATCTAAAACTCTTCTGTTTTGTGTCCCCACCCTTGCTCAACCATAGAGTAAAGAGAATATTTTGGATCTTCTGGACTAAAGAAGAACTGGCAAAGAAAAATCTTCTCATACTGAAGTCATTGCACAGGAAGATGGCTCTGCAGTTCCAGATTGGAGGGGTTCTTCGTCAGTAACCACCCTGGCCTCCCATCCCAGAGATCCGAATTTAAATTCAAAGCAAAGTAACACTGAGGAAAAAATAAACCTAGCATAAAGTTATGTAAATATATGAGCAGTTAAGATCAAGGTTGTGAGAACATGTGCCCTGAGGAAATTTTCCATTTTGTATATTATTTTAAAAAGATAATTAAAAGGTTTTGAAATATTGGTGCTGTCTTAAATGCTTAAACATATATGATTAATTACAAACCACACGTATCATTTTATTTGCTTCACACAACCCTGTGAGGAGTGGCATCTTTATAAGTATCCTACTTTTGAAAACAAAGGTGTTTTTATTTCTTTTTTTAAAAAGATCACTTATTTCTTTATATATGTTGCTTGAATCTTTGCTACTGTCATTATGCTGGACACTGAGTATGCAGAAAAAAAACGCTGACAAGGTTAAAGTACGCAATAAATGTCTGCACAGAGTGGTAAGGAACACAGTGCAGGGCACAGTCTCAGTTAACTGCAAGCTCCGCCTCCTGGGCGCAAGTGATCTGCTCACCTTGACTCCCAACATGCTGAGATTACAGAAGTGAGCCACCAGGACTGGCCTGAAACGGATATTTATCAGAGTAAAAAAGAAGTTTCTATTTATCATAAGGTATCAACAATTGTATTATAAATTTCCCAAATTTGGAGAGGATTAGAACACTGATCTTAGATGAATATATGAAAATAGTTATTTTTAAAGAATAAGCATGTAATAAATTCAAAACTTTCTGCAATTATATTGAGTAGGTTTCACCTAGTACAACAGTCAAGAGAATATACAGTTATTTATAGAGAAGACATCTAATTTTTTAAGCCTATTAGTTGAGATGCTGATTATATTAAAATTAAATATAAAAACGATTCATCATCAGTAACATAGGAAAAAAGATTTAAAATGAAAGTTGTAAATATATATTCAAAGTCCATATATTCTAGTACACTTTTAGATGCTCAAATTAGTTCAACAAGAAACACCGATGACAAAGACCAAAATGAGAGACATTATATATCATTTAATACCCCAACATGGCTGAACATTTCACAGCCCCAATACTGTTGGTCAAAAAATTGCTAAAATTGTAATCCTAAATCTAATAGCAAGAAATAGCACATTAGAAACTTAATTAGATTTATAAATTCCCCAGATAATTGTCTTCATCTTTTTTATAGAACAAAGACTAATTTATGCAACTAAAACAAAGAATAATAGGCTGCAAAAGATTATTCTCTGTCTGGCATTTGTGTAGGAATGTCTACTAAGTGTTACTGGGAAATAAATTTTAAGATTTTGGGATATTATAATCCTTCAAGTACTTGATTCTCTGAGTTCTTTCAGAAAGTCATTATAGATTGGTTGAAAACTAAAAACTTGGTTCAGGAAATTTTTAATAATAAAGTTTTTGAACTGCATTTTTTATTTTAGGAGATGGCACACATACTATTATTAGGAGTGTTTTAAAACCGATTTCTTGAGTATAATCTAATAATTTTGCAATGATAATTATTGCTAATTCTCTAAAATGTAACATTCTCCTATATTACATAATAAGGTAGACTACATTGTTTAGAAAGATTTTTCAAAAAAAGATTGAATAAAAAAATTTTTTTTCAATGAAATAACCAGAGAGTCATTCAGTACTTTCAGAATAGCACTTGGTTTATGAGCACCAGAAAACCTATATGATTGGTCAATATATTTTAAATGAATACATTGAAAGAACAAAAGCTAGAGGAAATTTGAAAATACTCTTGTTTTCCCAAAGTCAACATATGTCTTTGTATGTCATAAGTATGTCACTGAGCCCTGCAAAAGTGTTAAAATGTTAGAATCTGATGTCTTAAAAACCTGTTATATGCTAGTTAGCCTGATTTGATCATTTCGTAATGTACATATGTATTGAAGCATCATATTGTAACTCAAAAATCTATACAGGTATTATTGTCAATTAAGAATAAAAATAAAACTACAAAAATAAAAGTTTACCAAAATATTTTTAAAATCTGTCATAAGAGAAATGAACAAACTGAGGAAAAGCAAGAGATCTAGTCAAACTTTTCCGAACAACAGCTTTACAAACTGGGATACAAAAGAGTAAACTAAGAATCCTACTGCCAACCAGGTTGTCATTTATGTTTTAAATGAACTGGAAGATGATATTAAATCTGTAAGGGCACAATCTATATAATTCTGTATTCAGAAATGCACAAAACAAAGATATATGTGAAAGAGATGATCAATTTCTATGTCCGCCTGGAAGTCATTAAAGAAACTGGTAGAAAAACCTAGTTACATAAACATGCCATCTATCCATTTATTTACATATGTATAATTTTTCCTTAGGAAAGAATTAACTTTAAACTAGGAAAATTAATCACCTTTATTGCCTTCAATAAATACATTCTTAGAAATCAATAATGATGAATATTTTTTAATTGGAAAAATAAACCCAACCTCCAGTGATATACAATTGGCATTACTATTATACCTCAGATCAGGCATAAAAATCAGGGTTGTATCTCAACAAATCTACTGCTTTAGAATTTTAGGCTAATCTAGAAGGGGTTGAGACTGAAGGTTATAATGTAAAAATTAAATGCAAAACTACAGGCAAAAACAGGTGCATACACACACACTCACACACACACACACGTACCAGTAAATGTACTGGTCTAAACAAGGTGAATGCTTGTGGATTCCCATTTGGACTGGTGAACTTCTAGCTAGTTAATCTTTAGACATAAAAGGAATAAACCTTTATCACTGTCACCCGGTAGCATAGAACACAGAATACAGGTATAACCTTTATGAGGGGAGAAAACACATGATGTACCATATGTTAACATAATTCTCCAAAATATTTAATGTTCAAAAACAGTATTTAAATACTGACAATCAAGACAGCATCATGAATCTAATAGAAATATTAATAAGTAGTTTATTAAAGAGCTATGTTGTAAGAGTGAATAAAACAAAGTTGGAAATCATAAGTAACAAATTATGGGTTTGGATTATATAAGAACTGGACTTCAATCAGAGGATCTATACTCATAGAAAGGCCTGACTTAACACCTTGGCAAAACTTACAGAGAATGAGATAACTAATTAACTAATTCTGTCACTATGGCCAATTCAAGCTATCATCATGATGTTACTGAATTTGAAGTTGGGAAGAGATTTGTACATACTGTCTTATTGATGTGGAGCAACCTGGCTCCAGCATAACATTGTCATGAATAAATACTGTTTCCAAAAGTGAAAATAAAAAGGTTGCATTTACTTTATGACAATGTTCATTATTAAAAAATCACCAAAAGCTTGCAAACTATATTTATGTTAGAGAATCTGGAGAATGCAAATGATCATACTATCTGACTGACAATTTAAAATTATCATTATGTATTTTGAGAATCTAGGTGCAATATTTTAGGTGAATGAAAATGATTAAGTACATATTTTATGGCACATTAGCTCCAACTCTAATGATCATTACTTTAAAATACGTTTGATGTAATGGTGATTAGTATCTAAAAATAGACCACACCTAGTACAGGAATTGGCAAATGTTTTCTGTAAAGGGCCAAGAGTAAATATTTTAGATGCTGCAGACAATACACTCTCTGTTATGAATGCAGTTCTGCTATTGTTTTGGGAAAGCACCAGGCTTAATATGTAAATAAATGATCCTGACTGTGTTCCAATAAAACAGCATTTACATAAGCAGGCAGCAGATGAATAAAGCTTGGGGGCCATCCACAGTTTGTTATCCCAAAGTTAGTATGTATTGAATCAATCAGAATTATTTTGTAGCTCTAATTTCAGTATAATTTTTCTTGGTGTTTGTGATAAGTAAAGTTATTTAAACAAAATTGCCCCAGTAAAAAAAGTTTTGACTAGTGTTTCTTAAACAAGATACTTCTGTAGCTAACTGCCAAAAGGACAATGCAATTAAAAATAAAATGAATATATTTGTGGACATATCTTCTTTTACATTACTATACCAAAATTTCACAACTAACCATAGAAGAGAGGTTTACCTACACAGAGAAGGATGGGAACATTTGCATATTAAATAAAAATGTATTTAATATGAGTGCATTCATTTTATTTTACTTTAAAATTCCTTATTCTTACCTTCCACAAGTTTCCCTGTCTGTTCCGCACTTCCCCCAGGAAGAATCTTGGCAATATAGGCTCCAATTTCTCCACTATGTCCAGGGATTTCTTTACCACCCACAATTCTAATTCCTAATCCATTACCTGTATCAAACAATTAGCAAATTATTAGTACTAATTTAAGAAGGAACTATAGTTATCAAAAGTTACAGAGTGCACAAAAAGTAGTTCTGGTACACGGAAACTAAATATAACATAACTATTGGAAATGGACACCAAAGACAAAGAATGTCATTCTGATTTCAATAATATAGGATTTTCTGAGATCTTGGTAGACTTTGCAATTATTGACCTGATATTAACAAGTAATTTTTTGAATTAGCCATATTGTCATATACTCAGGCCTTGCCATATTTGGACCAGGTATTTTGTAAAAAATTTGAGAGGTTGTTCCCAGAGCATATAATTCACTTATAAAATTAAGAAACATTTTACTTATAGAAATGCAGTAATGACTATTCAAAATTGAGAATATACAATCTAATCATACAATTATAAATGATAAAGTGATAACATGATCATAACAATACATTATTCATTTTCAGCCTTAATTAATCAATTAATACTGTTTGTGTATTAACTTGGCACTTAGTACAAGACACGATAAAATTATCTCGACTGATGAACACCTTAGTAAACTGTTTCTTACGTTGCAGTACAGGTTCTTTCAGAATTAGTCACATGAAAAGACCAGGGTGAATAATTATTATGAGAAACCTAATTAAGATAGACATAAAGTGTTGATATTTATAGTTTGTGTGTTTTAAAAATATAGCTAAAAATTAGCAAGTACAGAGAGCACCAAACATAACTAAACATAAAAAGAATACAGTGAAAGTACGATACTGTAATCTTATGGGACACTGTTGCATATATGGTTCAACATTGACCCAAACATTATGTGGCACATAAGGATACTTTAATGCATAGCGGTTTTAACACCTTGGCTTCGATTATTTTGAACGGCAAGAAACAAACACATATTAATTATAACAAATAATGGAATATTTGGATAGCTTCATTGTTTTTATTTTTTGTAGAGACAGGGTCTCACTATGTTGTCCAAGCTGGTCTCACACTCCCAGCCTGAAGCAATCCTCCTGCCTCAGCCCCCAACAGTGCTAGAATTATAGGCATGAACTCTTCTTTTAAAGCAGTGGCTCTCAAGTAGGGGTGGAATTTTCATCCTAGGGCATATTGGTCCATGTTTAAAAACATTTTGGTTGTCACCATGGAATGATGCTACTAGCATTCAGTGGGTAGAGGCCAGGGATGCTGCTAAACATTGCACAATGCACAGTGCCAAGGCTGAAAACCCCTGTTTTAATGAGAGCAGTGCATGTTATTTTATTTCATTTTTGAGACAGAGTCTGGCTCTATTGCCCAGGCTGGAATGCAGTGGCATGATCTCAACTGACTGCAACCTCGGCCTCCCAGGTTCAAGTGATTCTCCTGCCTCAACCTAAAAGTGTAGTTGCAGCCTGGATGTAGTGGCTCACACCTGTAATTCCAGCACTTTGGGAGGCCAAGGCAGGAGGATCACTTGAGGCCAGAAGTTCAAGACCAGCCTTGCCAATATAGGAGATAACAAAAACAAAAAACAAAAAACAAAAAGTATAGTTGCAGAACTTCAAAATCTATTCATCAGCATCAAGGACTTAAAAAATTTGGTTATAGTTTCATTCTGCAAATGAAAATGTCCTGAAGGTGAAGTAGTTGGGTCCTTAGAGTAATTTTTTAACGGGTTTTATTATTTACTTATTTTAAAAATTATTAAGTTCTGGGGTACATACGCAGATCTTGCAGGATTGTTACATAGGTATACACATGCCATGGTGGTTTGCTGCCTTCATCCCCCCTGGTCACCTACATTAGGTGTTTCTCCTAATGTTATCCCTCCCCATCTCTTTCCACTGGCTATCCATCCCCTAGCTCCCCACTCCCCAACAGACCCCAGTGTGTGACATTCCCTCCCTGTGTCCATGTGTTCTCATTGTTCAACACCCACTTATAAGTTAGAACAGGTGATGTTTGGTTTTCTGTTCTTGTATCAGTTTGCCAAGAATGATGGTTTCCAGATTCATCCATGTCCCTGTAAAGGACATGAACTCATCCTTTTTTATGGCTGCATAGTATTCTATGGTGTATATGTGCCACATTTTCTTTATCCAGTCTAACTTTTATGGGCATTTTGGTTGGTTCCAAGTCTTTGCTATTGTAAATAGTGCCACAATGAATATACATGTGCATGTGTCTTTATAATAGATAAATTTATAATCCTTTGGGTATATACGCAGTAATGGGATTGCTGGGTCAAATGGTATTTCTACTTCTAGATCCTTGAGGAATCATCACACTGTCTTCCACAGTGGTTGAACTAATTTACACTCCCACCAACAGTGTAAAAGCATTCCTATTTCTCTGCATCCTCTCCAGCATCTGTTGTCTCCAGATTTTTCAATGATTGCCATTCTAACTGGCATGAGATGGTATCTCAATGTGGTTTTGATTTGCATTTCTCTAATGGCCAGTGATGATGAGCATTAAAACCCTATGGTAAAGGATTAGTGGTGAGAAACTATAATTACAATCATCTCAATAAAGTAGCACAGACACAATAATTAATTTTGTAATGTAAAGTCTCACACTAGTGAATTCAAATACTCAAAATGCTTTTGAGGTATACTTGATAAGCCTCGGTGTCTTTGGTAAATAGAGTAATACACAGTCATGATGATCCTGTGAGAAATGAGACTACATACATAGAAACAATTTCAGGCATATAGTTAATTTTCAACAATTACTGTTCCTTTTGTTGACGCTGCTGTTTTTGTTTTTTTTTTAATTTTGAAACAGTCTTACTCTCTTGCCCATGCTGGAGTACAATGGGGTGCTCATAGCTCATTGCAGCCTCAAACTCATAGGCTCAGGGATCCTCCCACCTTAGCCTCCCGAGTGCCACCATGCCCAGCTAAGTTCTTATTTTTAGTAGACACAAAGTCTGGCTATACTGCCTAGGCTGGTCTCAACTGCCTGGGTCAAGTGGCCCTTTTGCCTTAGCCTCCCAAAAGTTCTGGGATTACAGATATGAGCCACTGTACCCAGCTGCTGTTATTGTTTTTCAGGTAGACAATTAAGTTGCATAGGAAGATTAAAAAATATTTGAAGAATAGCATGTTAGAAAATAAATAGACCCAGGAAGAATAACATTTTTTGTATATTTTATAGTCGCTGCTTCTGCCCTAATTTGAATGTCATAAAAAGAAATTGAATTTATATAATTTTAAATAGTTAAATCTGGATATTTTTATTTCACATTTCCGTAGTTGTAATGTTTTATATTTCAAATATAGATAAAATGAACAAAATATTTATATAAAAATCTAACACCCCTCCTCAAATCTAGTAAGCCAAATACCAGCAGAAATTTTGTAAACTCAAGAAGCAACATTAATTTTGAACTGAAATACTTAGAAGTAAATAACCTTTGATAAGTGATGTGTATAATACTATTGCTTTTCAACTTTTGATAAATTTTTATCAACACAATCTCATCTTTCTGCTTTTGTTTCATCTCAAAACATTGATGAAATTCTTCCTCAGATGCCATGAAAATGGTCTTGTTCTTCTGCTCACAGTATGACAGTATAGAGAGACATATAAAACAGTAGTTACTCCAGATAACATAAGTGTTTTACTGAAAAATAAAGTCATAAATTATGGTAATTTCACAATATATAAGCATATCTGTGGTTAAGAAAGTCTTATAGAGAAGTTTAAAATTTAGAAAACCTTCAAAGTACATTGGGATATTTAGAGAAAAGAGAAATTCAATGATAAAAGAAGCAAAACCATTAAGAAAATGTATTACCTCTACTAACCTTAGAATGACAACTTAAATGCCTTGGTTTTAAGTCTCTAACTACATTATAAGTGTCTGAAAAATATGCTACTTTGGAGTTACTTTAAAAATAAGCTACACACAAAACAAACATGAGCATATTAAGGAAAAATCTTTATATTTGCGTTTAAGTTTACAGTTTAAATCTAATTTTACATGTTTATTAATCTTTTATATTAAAAGCTCTGGTATTTTAAAGTATCACAAAAATGTTTTTATTTTCAATATTAAGATATTTTAATATTATAAGGTTGTAATTAGAACATTATATTTGGACAAAATTAAAATACTTGTTTTATTTCAATACTTCATATGCTATATCTAAGCATTGAGGGAAAGCAAAATTAGTATTAGTGAATATACTGCATCTTATGAATAGTTTAAATCATTTGTGTTGATTTTTTTTATTTTATTTATTTATTTATTTATTTTTCTTTTTATTGCACCACATATTCTCACTCATAGGCGGGTGATGAAAAATGAGAACACATGGACACAGAGAGGGGAGTACTAAACACTGGGGTCTATAGGGGTTGGGGAGGGATTGCCAGGCGAGAAATACCAAATGTGTTGATTTTTTATAATAAGGTTATCCCAACATAAAAAATATATTGCATAGTTCAGTCATGTCATTAGTTGAGCTAAAGAAGACAGATTATCTATATAAATAATAATGCCTATAAAGTACCAAGAATAATAGAAAAGTCCCCAAAGGTAGTTCAATTAAATTTATTTTATGTAGTTTACATATAACTTATACTTGTAAGGCTGTGAGAATTTAATTTCATATTTTTTTCACTTACTTTGTTCTGTTATAAATTATACATAAAAGAGTTTAAAAAGTAAATGGAATTATATTAAAAACTCAGTGATTTCCCTTTTTGTCTTATCAAATGTAAGTTTGTTCATTAATTCTCAAACATGAAGACCTAAAGAATTTTCACTATTTATCTAATTATTGGACATTATTTTAAAAACATTCCTATAAACACAACACAACAATGAATATCAATCACCTTAATAACAAACCATATCTCATGGTTTTCAGTAACATCAAGATGGAAACAACACACTCATGCCAAGTTTAATCCAACTTTAATCCTGAGTGAAATTATAAATTCACTTACTCCTATTAGCTTTTTCTTATCCAGCCAATTGCCCAGGTATGAAAACTGCTGTTCAG